TACTAAGGTATTATAAAGTGGTATTAACACTTCACATGATTTTGATACGACTTTATGATGCCTTGGTAAGGCCACACTTGGAATACTGCATTCAGTTTTGGTCATCACGATGTAAAAAATATGCTGAATGGTCTTTTACTGTATGTGAATGCTATCATTTAGGTTTTCTTCTTGAAATCAGTAGGAACTTACTGCAAAAACGCAGAGAACAGCAAAATGAAGAATATTGCATTCATTTTCTTTTTTGTATACACAGGTCAGCTTTTGCTTTGGCAAGTCTTCAGAATGGCACCCTTCTTTGCTGAAAAATACAAGGTCATTGGATTATGCTTGTGCCAAACTTGCGGAAAGAACAAGTAATGTTTAAATATAATGAAATATATTGAGTTGCATAACATGTATCATCTCCTTCTCTTTGGTCCTTTATGAGAGTAGTGCTTGTTCCACTGCTGCCCCCAACAGGCACCCTACATTTAATGGGTGTATGTATATTAGCACAGTAGGCATTCCGATGTTTATTCGGCTCTTGGTTGCTTCAGTATTCAACCAGGAAATCATGTGTGACTGGCATATTAGCTATCACTGTTTGGTCTCATTTTTATTTGTCCACTGAGTGTTTAATTAGCATGTTAGAATGATCTCTCTTTTATGTTTTTCTAAAAAAAAAAGGGGGGGGAGAGTTGATTGGATTCACAAGCTAGTTGATTGTTTTGGACGCCAATATGTGCCTTTAATGGGCTGCAGCATTTCTACAGCCTAAACAACAATAACGCTCTATCCTAATGATGTACAAAAATTACCTCATTCTGTTTGAGGTCATTTCCCCCAAACCCCATACTACTGAAATTACTGCAAATATTTCACAGAACAAAGGGCATGTTTCTTATATGTTGTGCAGAAAATAAAGTGGCCCAGTGAACTAAAAGTCTACAGTGAAAGGGAAAAGGAGAGGTCAAAAGACCTACCATTGTGGTAGAACTAGTAGAAAATTTAACAGCAATAGACGAGGCTGCAGTAGTTCTAAATTAAAGGGCTGCCTTTACAAAGGAAACAGTGATGGCTTTGGCTGTTACTGAAATAATCACATGGAAATGGGAAATTTTCTTCCAGTTACAAAGGCTGTGGAAATTTTGGTGCAGATTAGCACAAAAGATGGGCAGGAACAAAAGAATAAAATCCTTTCCTTCCCTGAGCAGCTTAGTGATCCACAACTGCTTATCTCCACTTCCTGTTTAGATATCATCTATGATAAAAGTAAATGAAATTTTATGCATTCACATGTATTATTCCTTGGCTATGTGACTATTGCTTTAGTTTGGCTGTCAAATGATTTTTGAGTGTTATTTTTTACATGTGAACTGTATGTATCATCTCAATTCATTTGGGTTCTAGATAGTTTATAGTCTATAAAATAAATAATAACAATAATAAAAGAAAACAATATCTATACATAAATCTAAGTATCAGATTGATGGCAAAGGCCTTCTGGAAAAACCAGGTTCTAACTGCTATGCAGAACACTGTAACAATGGGAAACTGCTCTCCTTGGAAGGTGCTATAAAGCACTATGAAGTGGTAAAGTGCCATTTCTACAAGCCAGCTATTTATTTATTTATTTATTTATTTATTCATTCATTCATTCATTCATTCATTCATTCATTCATTCATTCATTCATTTGTTGTATTTATAGAGCTGCCTATCTCACAATCAGATAACTTTGAGCATCATACAACAAAATTCAAAACAATATATAAAACTGATATTAATATTAAAAACTTTAAAATTATAAAAAAACACAAATACTGAATATGTAAAATTCAATTGACCTTATGAAATCTTGGACTATGACCTGATAGACAATGAGTGACACTTTGCTATTTGCTTTTTACCTTTTGAGGACACCCTCCCCCCCGAAATAACTTCTGTATCTAGATGAAGACAAATATTTTATCAACAGACCTACAAGCTATAAGAATCATGTTAGGACCCTGATGCCATTATTGTTGACAGTTCTGTCACTGCCAGTTCTATAAATAAAACAGCAGGCATAACAAATACAATGCTGCTGGCTACTAGTGAAGTCATTGTTCACTGCTTATATTGCTTGGCATTTGATAAAGCCATGCAACATTTCCTGGTCTACCCCAAAGTGTGCCTTGGTTTATGCATAAATCAGTAGCTTCAGACTCTTTAACAGAGCCACCTCTTCTTTTGCATTGGTGCAAAAGGGAGATCATCAGTTCTGAAAAAAGATGTGGCTGCTTCAAAGAGGTCTAAACTACAGGCTGAGATATTGAAACATTTTTTTAAAATCAAGCCTAAAGTGCTGCATAGCTATGGGATTTTATTTTACATTGTACACAATGGAAAACTGATTTGCAAAGTGTTTTGTTTCTTCAGCATACTTCTATTATTATGTATGCAATGTACTTGTATATTGACCTCTGTAAAAATTATACTAGATAATAAGTCATTCATCTTTTAAAAAAATTACTTAAGGCTTAAACACGCACTCTGCTTGCTCTGGCTCTGAAATATTCTGCTTACTAATAATTGAGGATAGGCCCTCAAAACATAGCCTCCATCTTGGTGGCAGCCTTTGATCCAACAGAAAAGTGGTGTTTTCCATTGAAAAATGCAATAAAACCTCCTATGCAAACATTGTGTTTCAAGTGAAGAAGCTCCAATGCAAATTATAGTAAAAGAGTAAAGAAAAAAATGGTTGTAATTAGTTTTCAGAAAAATAGCTTATTTATGTATTCCTGCATAACCAAATGTGTTGTGACACTTCAAAATTAACCAATTTATTTTTGCATAAACTTTGTGGCATGGTCTATTTAATCAGATGCAAGCAGTATAGTCCTGTGAGAGATTACAACTTGCACAGTTGTTGCTAGATATTCCTTTCTTATGTATAAGAAAGCAAAGTAGTCTTTGCTTCTAAACAGCTATTAGCAAATGAAAATATCTCATGCTATATGTATACAGGCATGACACCCAAACCTTGTGGCTAAACCAAATGCCAGTCCTTCATTTGGTTCTATACTGTCAATATGTAGGACTAAATAATGCTACTTTCAGAGACATAAATACTTGCTCATTCTCCAACATTGCCTCCTCTTGCCCTGTATACTACTTAATATTTATGCAAAAGGAAGGGACACAAATCAGGAAAGTAATAGCCCAAAGCTATTGGGAGAACATTTCAAAAGTTCCTAGCCCACTTTATCTCAAATTTCGATAGCAATTCTTGAAAAATTATGGGGATTAATTTTGCCATTAATACAAGTGAGCCGGAATTAATAGTTTTGATGCAATTTCTCCACAGATCAAACGGAGATATATATTAACTATGTATTAAAGAGGAATTTATCTGATGCTTATTTTGTGAATAGAAAACTTTCTCATCTTTCCCTCATCATTCTCCATTTCTCTTTCACTCTGCTCTGCCACCTTAGCTCTATGTTTATGCAGTGCCTGACTTTGTCTGATGAAGGGGATTATGATTCACAAATAGTTTTGTGAAAATGTTGCTAGCCTTCAAGATGCTAGAAGACTGGTTGCCATTATAACTGATTAAAGCCAGTTGAAATAATATTTTTAGTTTTAATCACTTTACTCAGAACCCTGGGAAAATATAAAAGCGGGATACAACTAAATAAAAATATAAACTGAACAAGAAAAACAATGGTGAAAGAAATATGGCTATTTTTTGCAAAAAGTCTGATCACAGTGAACTGGATCTGTTAAGGTAGTTTACTAGAAAGGAAGTTAGGAAATATTGCTGATATACGTTTAGGACACAAAGCTGCTTGAAAAGTCAAATTCTGAAAAGAATTAAGTTTCCTCCCTTTGGTTTAAAGAAACCATTCATATATATGCTGTTTTAAAGGATACAGCTTCTCAGAATTATTTACAAAACAGCAAATCAAAACAAAACTTCAAACTCAGATCAAAATCATTTAGACCAGGCATCCTTTTTGTCCTTCTGAGTGGGTGGAGGCAACAATTTCAGCCCCACCCACTTTTGGTAGGTGACACTTGACAAGCTGTGTAAAGTCTTGTGTGGTCTTTGAACCAAGATAAATGGTAGATTCTAGTATATTAAAGATAGAGGCCTTGAAGAGAGATCAAAAGCAGTGTCAGTAGTGCTTCCCTGGGAAGCAAATTCTAAAGGAGGAATGCAGCTCACCCTTTACAGAGCAGATGGTATTTCCGGTGGTAATTTGATTCCTAGGTGTTTTGTAATTTTGAAAGTTAAACCTAACCCTGGGATTCAGGAGCCTCTAATCTTTATAACTTTATTCTAGATTTGGGGAGTAGGGGGAGAGGGTTAATCATGGATATACCAGGATCAGAAAAATAAATTCTGTAAATGCTTAGTATCTAAACAATATAGATTTATTTCATAAATTTCAGGATTATGAGTTCTGATTGAAGTTGGCACTAGTAATTATGAATGCTAATGGAGAAGAAAATGTATTTAAAGTATATCTGCCTGCTAAAGCAAATCTAGGGCAACTACATAAATATAACAATAAGGAAATTAAGTACTTAACTACTCAAGTCTCAAAATCATTAAGTAGCTTTTTTAGAAATCTTGCAAGCATAACAAATCTGTTTCAAATCAGTATTTTTGCAATATCGGTGGATTCTTGTAGTATTTGAATGTCCCAACTCTTCTTTATTCAGCTCTCTTAGATTGGGTTTTATTGAAAATGTCCCTCAATTGTGCATAGATTCTGTGCATATGTACTGATTAACAACCTAGTGGTGGGTTAATAGATATGTAAAGGATTTTGCCTAGGAGAGACAAAAGTTTTTTTTTCTGGGAACAGCCCAATCAATGAGTGCTTCCCTTCTTTTTTGTTCCTAGTCCTCTTTATACTGTAAGAACAGGTCCAATTAATTCTTCCACAACTACAGTTTTTGAGAGTTTCTTCCTGAGTGTTTTATCTTTTTTACTTATTTCCAAATAAAAGACAGCGTAACAAATATGTAGGAAACCTGATTATTCAAATTTATTAACATCAAGAATTATGCAATGATGCTGTAGAACTTTATTAACAAATAGAAAACAGACTGTATACAACAGTGACCCCTACAGCACTATGCTATCACAAGGTAAAAATGAATGTTCTCTCCAACATCACCACCCAGGATTGTTGATTTCAATGCAGTTTGGATACATTGGATAATACAGTTAGAGACCTTTCCACCACCTTTATTTTTAGAGCTATGCACCTGGGAGAAGGCTGTAATCTTCCTGCCTTTAGTGCAAGTGTAAGTTAATAAAGAGGAATAATATATAATACCATTAAATTAATTCCAGTAGTCTTGCCACATTGGTTAATTAAACCATCTTTATATAATTGAAAATAACAGCATTCTAATGACTTTTAAATGTTTACAGGATAGCAAGATTTAGACCCAAACCCAGCCTCTTAAGAAGTGATTTCCTTACTTGAAAACCCCCAATCCTTCTCCCCCTCCTATAGCCAAGGCACCCCCATTCGGGAGCTGTTTGTGCAGGAAGGCTGGCCTTCCAGAGTTGTGCTCTTTTACCTTGGAAAATACTCTGATACACTTTGTTGGCCACATTTTCTATGTAACCACACGTTAGGATGCTATTGGCACAAAAAGGACTAAATAAAGGGATGTTATGGTGAGGTCCCTTTTTAGAACTTGACTGTGTGGCAACAATGCCACATTTCCTCCCATTTCAACAAGACAAGCTCTGAGGGCAGTGGGTCTCTCTTTCCATTAGAAAGTTTACATGGAATCTGTTGAAATATATGAGGTCACTGGACACATGTCAATAGGATCAAGCATCTGATCTGACTACTAGAGCCCCATCTGACAGACAAGCCTATGGGAAAAAAAGACTTTGGAATTAGGTTGGCTCCAACTCTGTGGAAATGAATATTCTACAAAGGACTGAAGAGGGAGTTGGAGGATCCCAGAGCTATGAGCCAGGTGCTAATGTTAACCTGGGAGTGCCCGAAAATGGGCAGCACCACTATGGTTGAGACAACATAAAGGGGGGGAGAGGGGGAAAGCAAAGGAAAATTCAAACCCCACCACCTCTATTCTCCTGTTTTGCCTGAGCAAAACATTAAGATTTGCAAAATAATTTTTAAAAAAAGAAAAGATATAAAAGGCTAGTTAACTATTTTACATATATAAAAAATTCTGTCCCTTCCACCTAGTGACCCTCACCATGAAATGTTATTGGGGTGGTGGAGGGAGGAGAAGGAGGAGGATAAGGAGTGTAGGTATTAACGTAAATCCATCTGGTGCTTGGAAATGTGAGAAGATGGTCCCATTTTTAGCATGGTGGCAATGTACCTAAATACTGTGGTCAAAACTGGTTGGTCATGGGGAGGCTGTTGCCGCAACAGCAGCATCTGCACAGAAGGATTAACAAATGGGCGGCTGGCTGGGAAGAACCCGTCTCTGCACTTAGACATTCCTGCTGCAACTTGTCGAAAGCACTAGTTACGTTGCATAGTGATCAAAGCTGCCAAGATACTCCAGAGCAGCCCGATAACACAGCTGATACTGGTCCTGGAAAAGGGAGAAAAATAAAAATCAGTGCCAAGTTGTAAAGGTAGCTGTCAACTGTTCTATTACATCATAGTTCAGAAATTGAGAATAGAAGGTCTTGCTCTGCACTTCAACCTGATACAATTGTGTCCATTTCTGGACTGGGGGATCTTGCTCACAGTCACCTATGCCTTGATCACCTTTCATTTGGATTACTGCAATGTGCTTACATGGGGCTGGTCTTGAAGACCACCCAGAAGCTGCAACTAGTCCAGAATGAAGTGCAATTTGGGATATTCTGTAGTTCATTCAAGTAACATCATTGTTGTGTGAGCTGCACAGGTTTCCAGTTGCTTTCTGGGTAGAAGTCAAGATGCTGTTTATCATCTTTCAAGCCCTACATGGCACAGGTAGAATTGTTTCTACCTAAGTGTACCTGCCCACCATACTACATTAGGATGGGTGGTGCTCCATGTCTCATTCCTTAAATGTTGCTATTTGATGGACCTTGGAGGCATACCTCTTTGGGGGCCATCCTAATCCTTTGGAACAACCTCCCACTGGAGATTGAGAAAGACCCCCTAATCTTTTAGCCTTCAGAAGATGGTAAAGATCTGCCTCTTCACCCAAACATTGGGCCAGGATGAGAAGGTTGAGCTTAAAAATGTTTGGTCTTGTGCCTGGGGGAAATTATGTTTTAACTAAGTTCTATGGATTTCTATAAGTCACCTAGTCATTGGATGAGACATTTGGCCTTATAAGCCTGTAACTAACTAACTAACTAACTAACTAGCTAACTAACTAACTAACTAACACACAGAGGAGATAACTAATACCAAGCTGAAGCTAGATCTTATACCAAATGAAATGAAATATCAGATTCATCTTTTTATATATCACACCTCAAAGTGCCAAGCAATAAGACTATGGTGGGAGCTAATTCCCAGTAGAATCTGTAGGTTTAATGGCAAACAACTGGTTGCTTTGATTATACAGAAAACTCAATTATGCAGAATTTGGGGCTGCGTTTACACTTAACCACCTCACATTAAAATTTGTTTACTACTAAATTATAGTACTTGTTTTGGTATGCATTTGTTATAGGTATAAAATACAGACTGAAAGATATATTCTCTCCCATCCAACCCACTGAAAAGGAAATATTGTCTTGACAGACAATATCAAGAGTAGCAGTTGGGAATAAGGTGTGTAGATCAGAAGCAAACTGTCTTACAAAAACAGTTTAGTCTTTCTGGACTAAATACTGGATTGCTGTTGTCATGTAAAGAGGCAAAACACTTGAGTGGTTTCTGGGGCTTCAGCTGTCCTTTAGGTCTGGCAGGCTGATTGGATATCATTAAATTATTCACAATGCAATGGTATTCACATTGCCTTTCTAGATGAATTTACAGAGGGCTGGTTGATCCCTTGTAAATATCTGCTGGAGTGGTTTTTTTAAAATTTTGTTTGTATCTCTTGTTCCAGCTTTTGCAGATTATGAAGTCAGTTTGGGATTTGTGAATGCTTCAAAAAGGACTTGGAAAGAATGGTGATTCTTTAAAGAATGAATTCATTGTTGATTAACCTCTTACAACAGCAACATCTTTTCCCAGTCTTGTGCAGAATATGAAGAAACTTACTGTTACTGATAATGCTCCTGCATCATGTGATCCCTGAAAACCTGGAGTATTTTATTATTTATTTAAACTTAAATCCAACCCTAGTGGACTTTGGGTAGCATATTGCCCTCTAACTATTACATAATTGTAGATTTAGAATGATAGGAACTATTCCTTACCTGACTGAAAAATAACTGCATTATTAATTGCAATTAAATTTGAAATTACTAAAATCAAATTATATATTTCTCTTATTTTCCAGTGTATTATTCAAACACCAGTTGGCAGGTCTTCAGCCAGAAAATGGTGGGGACTATTTCTGTTTTTTGTAATAGTTCACACAGGGTTCCAGTAACTTTCTTCTATCCAGCACCTGAATAACTGGCCAAAACAGCTGCTTTCTCTCATTGTAACTCTTATATGCTTAAAAAATAGACTACAAAAGTTTTATTGAAACATTTTTTAAACTAACCTTACTAACCTTCTAAATCTCATGGTTCATATAACGCTATATATATCATCATGGAAACAAAAACAAGACCAATAGTTGTCAATTAGAAGATAAGTTAAACTACAGCTGTCAAACTCCTGGCCCATGGGATGGATGCGTCACGTGTTGGCCACGCCCTCGCCCATTTTAATGAAGGGGAAAAAAGTCCCGATATGTCATGTGACACTGCTGTGACATGAGTTTGACACCCCTGAGTTAGATTATCCTATTTTCAGAATTAGCTTTCTCATACTGGAAGGCAGAGCTTCACTCCACTTTCATCTAATGAATGTTCAAGTTTCACCCTCCTCCATTATAAGGCAGGAAATAGCATGGCAAGTAGCTTTACCTCTGTCTGCACCATGGCTGGTCGCTGTGTTCTCAGGGTCTTCACTGTCTGGAACATATCAACTACACCTTCATAGCGCATACGCTCCAGTACAATACTCAATGTGATGAACACCCCTGTACGTCCGACCCCCGCACTATGTACAAGGAAAAGAGTAAATGAGTAACAATCCCAGCTTGGATTGCGTCCAAGCAATTGACACCCCAGAAGCTCACAACCTCACACAAAAACCTGCTGTGTTCTAACTGCCATGCTACACTTTTATGCTTAAAACAACAATTTTCTTGGCTTCATTCTTAAAATGCTTCTGTGTACAAAACAGTGAAGGGACACGGTGGCTCAGTGCTAAGATGCTGAGCTGGTCGATCAGAAAAGCCGGCAGTTTGGCGATTTGAATTCCCAGTGCTGTGTAACGGAGTGAGCTCCCGTTACTTGTCCCAGCTTCTGCCAACCTCGCAGTTCGAAAGCACATAAAAATGCAAGTAGAAAAATAAGAACCACCTCTGGTGGGAAAGTAAAAGCATTCCGTGTGCCTTCAGCATTTAGTTATGCCAGCCACATGACCATGGAGACGTCTTCGGATAGCACTGGCTCTTCGGCTTTGAAACGGAGATGAGCACTGCCCCTTGGAGTCGGGAACGACTACCAGATATGTGTGAGGGGAACCTTTTCCTTTCAGAACAGTGACATCAGAAGCTCTCTAGCTTTCCTGGCAACCTAATTCACCTCACCATTAGCCTATCCCTAAATGAGCTTTCAGAAATAGCTCAATGCCCAAACTCACCTGCAGTGTACTGTGATGGGCCCATCCTGGCCAAACTGCTCCTTAGTTTTATGTACTTGGCCAATGAAGTCAATAAAGCCTTCACCTGTTTTTGGTACTCCCTGCTCCGGCCAATCAGTGAACTGGAATTGCCGGATAGTTCTTGATTGCCCATCCTAGTTGTGGAAAAGAGAGTAAAGTCATTGTACCTTGCTTTCATCTTAAAGTGTTGCTTGTTAGTTCCTGGGAAGATTAAGGGGAGTAAGTTAAATCTGAGCATATTAGCTACAGTATTTTATTCCAAAATGTCACTGGCTGTTAGGACAATAAAGCAATGCCTGATGATAAATGCCCTTCTGTACCAGGGAATTGCAGTTACTGATAGAAACAACATTGAATAATTCAGAATATGCTGTGTAACACTCACTCTAGCATCAGTGACTTTAAACTCACGAAGGATATATTGAGGCATGTTATATTCAGCCATGGGATCCACTACAAAATACTGGTACCGAGCAGAGCGTTCTGCTGGCCAGTACTGGTGGCATTTTTCCTGAAAAGCAAAAAAGAAAAAAAAAAGAAAAAATTCACTGTTGGCAAACAATATAGTAGTACTTGCACAAAAGCTATCATATTCAAAAGTGATAGTATGAGACTTTTCTTAATAAATGACGCCTCTCTTCTGGCTGGAAATGACTGATGAGCTTCACCTTGAATAGCTCTTTTCTTCTCCATCCCCACAACACTTTCCAATAAGCAATCAGGTTGTACTCTCATTTATCTTCCCAGTTCAACATTTGATAGGCTTTATTGCTTCAACGGAACCTTCTCATTGTGTGGTCATCAATAGTGTCAGAAAGGGTATTTTTAGGCTTTAAAACTTGCCATAATTGATACAGAGAAAAATCACATAAAATTTTTACATTTAAAAATTCAGATGTCTCATATGCCTCAGGTATTAATGGATCATCCCTGACCACAAAATTCTATGAATAAGACCTACAATGAACAAAATAGCTTGAAGTTTAACTCTCAAATCTGTATCTCCCTCCTGTTATTTCTATTCACGTTGACACCAGTATTTTGCCTTAAATTCTCACGTTCTCTATTGCAATACTTTTATTTTTCTATATTTTCAAGAAACATGACTGTCATACCCACTTGCTCAAATAAATTCTAAATAAATGTCACACTGATAGTCATTAATTGCAGGGAAATGTTCATGGTTTTTTTTTTGTTGTTGTTACAAAATGTACCACTGAAGTCATTTCTTCCATATGGCTGATGTCAATGTGCTGACTGGCATACCAGCAATATTTTCTTGACTTTAATCTGCCACAATCTTTGGTTTGACTTTTCCTGCCAGTAACTGTATGACCTTATTTAGAATTGTTTTCCAAGATAGTGCTATGTATATATTTCTTTGGTTGTGACTTTTCTTAGATACTCCTAATCCACAACATCAAATTCAACCGTCATATCTACAGTTTTAAGGAAGTTTTCAGGTTTTGGCACATCAAGCTATACTGAAGAACCACCCAAAAGCTAGGATTGGCCAACATTCTTACAATAATGGTAAGCCTTTTCAGAACGTTTTGGCAGGAATGAGACTGATTCAATCTTCTCTTGGTGCTGTTCATCTGTGGTGGCCTTTAATCTTGGTCAATCTCTTCCCACTTATGGGACATTAATGATTTTGTGCCTTCCTAAGTGGCAGATTTTTGCAGTGCTTTATTTCTCTACGACTCAGTGTAGCTTGAATTTTAGAAGAGTTTACCATAAAAGCAACATGCAAGCCATGGTTTTTCCACTTTGTAATCCATGCGGGATTTCATGCCAATAATGTGTTAGGTGAAAAACTTCTGAATTCATTGTGGTTGGGAGCTTATTGTGATCCATATAGTACAAGGAAGTTCTCCAAACCACTGAATCAACAGTCCTGGAGTAAGAGTACTGAAGAGCAACTTAAAAAGCAGTGTTTGCAACTTAACATTTTTCTCTGATTAATCCTTTTTTCAGTAATGTGCATGGCTATATCTATTTGAGATGGAGGCACTGACAGAGTAGTAGCTGCTAAATCAAGAGTATCCTGATTAACTAGAAGATCAGGCATTGCCTCACTTCTTTGTATGTCTGAGAAGAACTCCTTCCTGCTTAAATATAAAAGTCTCCTCTACTTGTTTGCTTTTTCTGAATGCTGCCCCAAAGGGTTATTGCCTTTCACTTATGATATAGGATATAGCCACTTTTCTCTGCCAGCTTTGGAGGCTCGCAATGCTCAATTTAATGAGACAAATACACAGAATGGTAGCAGAGGCTGACAAGAGAAGATACCATCATCCTAAGGGCCTAAGTGGTTCCTAGTATTATTTTGTCTTTTGTTTGTGATCAAGTTGACTGTCTGTTTTCTTCAAGTGGATTTGGAGAAGTAGAAGTTCTACAAGAGGATCCCTCACAAAGTGGTGTTAAATCAATCCAGGCACTTGGAGAAAATGTTAGATAAGTGCTAGAGGCTTTCCCCTACCTCCTCTTTCCCCAGCAGCTCCTAATGCTTACTACTATTTCCTCTCACCACCTCCTCCGCCTATCTACCAGTTTATGCTCCTTCAGTAACTATGTATCAACAATAGGCACAATTTTATTTACTTGGTTGGTTTTATTTACTTTACACAATAGTAAGGTTTCCCTTCTCCAAGATCTAGTACTTGAGGCAATTCTCATAAGGTGAGGCCAGCCCTGACAAATGCAGGCTGAGAGCTTGCTCAGATGATTTCAGGGGACAGATCTTTTGGCCACTCAAGACATGGGTGGGAATCCAGAAGAAACTATCAGCTACAAAGGCTTTGTGTTACATTCTCTACCTTCTATTGATTCACCTGTTCTAATGAGGGAAAGCATGTTCGGCTGAATTATCTGTCCATGAGTCCACCAGGACTGGAAGGCAGGGGTATGTTGTGGGTCCCATTTATTAGAGATGTATATCTGGTGGGACTATGAAAAAGGGCCTTCTCAGTGGTGGCTCCTTTCCTATGGAACATAATTCCAATGGAGGTACGATTGGCCCTCATCTTGTTGCTTTTTCAAAAGGCCTCTGAAGATGTGGTTTTATCACTAGGCTCTTGAATAGAGATGGAGCCGATCAAGTGGTTTGTTTGTGTTCCTGCTGCCATGGAGGATGAGTTGGGTTTTATATTGCGGATTTTTAATGTTACAAGCGACCCAGAGTCCCCTGTGTGTAAGTTGGGAAGCCATAAAAAATTGTTAAATAAATAATAAGTAAATAAATGTCTTTATGGAAGATCAGGTTTTGCAGTAGAAATCTCCCCCTAGAACAGTGATGATGAATCCTTTTGGCACCGAGTGCCAAAAAGGGAGTGCGCGTCTGTGCACGCTTGTCTGGGCTGCAACCCGGAAGAGGAGCTGCTCAGGGGGCATGCATGCACCGGAAAATGAACTTCTGGTTTCCAGTGCGCGCATGCACACTGGCCAGCTAGTCTTCCGGTTACTGCCGCACATGCGTGCGTGACAATCAGCTGGCCAGTACACATTCTCACACTGGAAAATAGAAGACCAGCTCTTCTAGTTTCCTGCACTACCACACACACAAAGGCCAGCTGATTGTCGTGCGCACATGCATGACAGAAACCCAGAAGAGGAACGGGCGGTGCCATGCGTGCCAGGCAACATGGCTCCATGTGCCACTTTGGGCACGCATACCACAGGTTCGCCATCACGGGCCTAGAACATAGGATGCTTACTAACCCGCCCCATTTCTCGCAGTTTTGTCAACATCACTACAATGGTGGAGTTGTGTTCCCACAGCATTCTCCAGAAATCCTCTGTAGTCTCAGCCAAAGGTCCCTGTGTGGCGATGTAAGCCTTCTGTTGTCTGCAAGATATCAAAGGGTTCAGATTAGTGACTAACTCTGGCACTTCCGGCATGGGAAGGAGACCGTAACATACATCTGGGTCAGATTTGGACAGTCTTTGACAGTTTCTTAAATATTTTAGGGCATATGTAGTAATTATTTTCATTGCTTCAAAACGGCAGGAAACCTGTACTACTATTTTGGTGAAATCTTGCTGCCAAAATTTTAGTCACATAGTTGGAGATCTAACACCCCAAAATCTAGGTTCAGAAAAACTAGAAATCACTGAACATCTGCATGCATAGGGAATCTAAGTCTTGTGAAGTCAGGGATAGAGATCTAAATTCCATAGCGACATTAAGAAAGAATGCAAATCCAGCCAAATCTATAACTGAGACTGTGATACCTTTATTTTACCACTATGGGGCACTACAGTTCCTTGTATATATAACCTTAGGCGCCTCACTCATTTAATCTCTCCAGTGGTGCTAAAATTAATGAATCTGGTATAGGATAGCTGTAATGATGCAGGACAGAGATGCAAGCTGCTCCATGGTGGATTTATAAGACATCATAAAAGGTGAGAGCACAGTGAGGGTGAGGGGAGGAGGAACAAATAAAAATGCAGCTTCAGTAGCACCTTGGGCCAGTTGATCCCTTTTGATAAGGTGGAGAATTATTGCTCACTTCAAATAGAAGGATGAGAAGAGATAAATGGGAGCCCTCAGGGACAGTTTAGGTAAGACATGAAATGCTATCTCCTCCAGTTTGGCAGGCACTCAATAGTCCTCTCTCAATAGTAGCATTTCTGTTTTAGCACTATATACGTGAAAGTGTATCACACTACCTATAGCTGATTTATTGGTGAGAGGGGGGCATATAAACTTAATAAATAAATAAAAAATAAAATGGCATCTCATAGGGTTAATGGCAGGATATGAAGCTGAGTCATCATCAGTAACTCTTCTGCTTTTCTAGCTTTAGCACAGCTCGGAGATTTGCTGAAGTTCTTCACTTTTGTGGGATGAAAACTTCTTTCATGTTCCTAGCTCTCTGCCCATTATGTCCTTTTTAAAGTCATCCTTCATATTGCCAATTCGTTTCTGCTTTTGCAGCCCATAAGATATCGGTGGTGGTGGTGGTGAGTGGGGGGGGGAGATAATAAAATAAAGGTCAGCGCTTCCCCTCACGCAGAAATGATTATCTCATGAAATATCTCTGAATCCACTACTGTAGGTAGCAATAGCAATAGCAGCTAGACTTATATACCGCTTCATAGGGCTTTCAGCCCTCTCTAAGCGGTTTACAGAGTCAGCATATTGCCCCCAACAACAATCCGGGCTCTCCACCTCGGAAGGATGGAAGGCTAAGTCAACCCTGAGCCGGTGAGATTTGAACAGCCGAACTGCAGAACTGCAGTCAGCTGAAGTAGCCTGCAGTGCTGCATTTAACCACTGCACCACCTCGGTTCTGCAGCCTGGTTTTTTCCCCCTTGGGCCACATGTTCTGCATCAAACCTTTCAAGTGATAGGAAGGGGCTTGTCTGCTTGTACTGCAGTGCTGGAAGGAGATCTGACAAATAAGATGTGCATGTGTTGGCGAATGAATTATACAGCAAGGTGCCTACAGTGGGTTGACTGCAGGGAAACTAAAAACGCTGAAACCAGTATCTCTCAGTTAACTAGATAATAAAGCTTGAAATGAAAAGGTAGGAAGAGGAAAACCACTAAGAAAAAATAGCTTAATATAGGTGCCGTGAACCTGACTGATTACGCATGCTCTTCCCGTCTCAGCATTGCTTAACTAAAGTGTCCAAATTAAAGGAGCAGGAATGAACATCACAAAAGAGAGTCGGACTTTGAATAAGATGGCATACTTTACCTGTAACCATCTACAAAGCTAGCATTGATATAATCTGAGCCTTCAACACCCCGGATTGGCTGCAGGCAAACCCGTGTCAATTCATAGGGCATGATATTCACTAGGCGGTTTTTGAATTTGTTGCATGGAAGATTGGCACTGATGAATCGTGAGGTATGTGCTTTGGAATTGGCAAGGAGCTGTAAAGAGAAGTGACAAATTGGCAGGAGAGATCGGACGCAACACTCCAGGAGCAGCAGGTCCCTCAACATCAGGTACAATTTTTCACACTTAATACAGAAAAAAAGATTACCTGAAGAGATGATAGAACTTGTTTAGGTAAGAAGTCACTATCATGCATTCCAGCAGGGAGAATATTCTTGCTCATATTGGAAAGAATCTAAGAATTTGTTGCTGAGCCGCTGTGTCATTAAGACTGGAAAGCACAACCATTGCATTCCCACTTTATATTTTTAGATGAGCATCTCAACACATCTTGCTCATCTAAAAATTCATGAAAACAGGCCCCAATTTGATCTACATACTTATCAGCACTGCACAATATTGTTATTCGGCAATATGGTCTGATACTGATTGTGCAATGCCCTCCAAACAGCCCAAAGCCACCTCCTTATTTTTACAGGTTTCTCAATCCTTACATTAAACAGGTACAGGAAGATCTATGAATATCCACATGCCTGGCTGCTCCTGCTCTGAGTTCTGTGGAAATTTTATTTGCCAGAAAACTACTCATGTGCTCCATCACAAAGGAAATGCCTGGAAAGCAGGCATGAGAAATTTTATTGCTTTTCATCTAGGGCAAAGTCAAACTGAGATTTTTGGATTAGATTTTAGAAGCATTTTCCTCCATCCTTCCGTGATTTTTGAGCCTAAGACCAAGTCACTTTTAGAGGTAGGGGTGGTATTTGTATTGTATCCCTGGCAGTTGTTGAAATCTACTGGCCCTGGCTTTATGTTCCTGCTCTTATCACTGCTAACTGTTAATAGCAGGAGTCACTTAGAAATGGTAGGCTGACATTAAGATCAATTCTTATCATAACAGAAAATGGTATAAAAATGAGTATTGGTAGCTCTCTTGCCTTAGCAGCAATGTTTGTATTCTCTCTTTCTCTCTCCCCTTTTCTGCTCTCTGGTAATGGTAGTTACGGAAGGAAGAAGAAACTTTGCTGAATCTTGCACCCGTCTCCTAACTCTCATTAAAGCAGAATTAGATACCCAACAGTGATGATGGCGCTTGCTCCTGCTACTCTTTCATAGGAATAGTATTTATAGGGGGAAAAAACAGCTACTCATTCCTTCCTTCCTCTGGCTATAGAGAGGATTAAGCCCAGAAACAGAGGGGTGAGTAAATGGAGGTACAGTGCGGAGAATCAAGTTAACAATGTTCATACTTTGGCACTGGTTTTGCCTTCTGCTGCTTGCACAATAAATAATTCGGTTGACTTTAAAACTATGTCTAAATCTAAAACTTTATCCGCCACCACCTCGTCTTTTCTGGGCAAATAAACATATTAAGAGAATTAACAGAGCTATTAACCAGTATCAAAGCTGTAGGAAATACTGGCATGAAACTACTACAGATGCAATAAATGCTAACAAGCGCTGGCACTTGTGACCATGAAGGCAAGAGGCATTGGAAGTTCTCGATTTCTCAAGGGCTTAAAGTAAAAAGTATGTTCAGGTAAGCTTTTTTTAGTGACATCATGAACACCCCAATTTCCACTGGGTTCTGGATATACTGTAGCTCCAGCTGGTAGTGATGCTGAGAACTTCATTTTAATCTGCCTTCCTATATACAAGGGGTGTCAAATGTGATGTATCACAACTTTTCCCCTTCGCCAAACCGGGCATGGGCATGGCCAGTGCATGACACATCTGGCCCACGGGCCACAAGTTTAACAGCCCTGATATATACTTTTCTAGAAGCTTATCAGTACAGAACAAGTATGTTGAAGACACACAAATCTGCATCCAAATGTATTTTAATACTCTCTACAGTGTAGAAATATACCAAAGGACCATTATACTTAGAAAACGATCTTCCTTCAATCCAGGAATACATTGTCAGTGAGAAATGACAACCAAGCATCTTATCTAATCCTATAATTGCTCTCTAGATTTTGCATGCACAGGTACAAATTGAAAATAATCTTTTACTCACCTTAAACTCCAGTTCCATTGCTGTGACACTCTCACCTGGAGGTACCTGACTTAGTTTCTGGATGTGGGCAAAGAGATTGCGGGCAGGCACCTCGGTGTTTCCACAAGTGGCTGCTTCTAGCAAGGCTTCGTGGATGAAGATATATTGATCCTCAGTCTGCACCATATAGTTTCTTTGTGAGCGCATGCATGTCACATGCCCATAGATGTCCACTGTCTTTTCATGCTTCATCCTCTCAAGCATGGCATCAATTACAATGAAGCAGCCTGTTCTGCCTACACCAGCACTGTAAAAACAAGGCATAAAGCACGAAATTGGGCTTCTGCACTGTGGCAAAGCTCTAGATATTCTGATTATTTTCCTAGTATGATGCAAGAATAGCTTATTTTCAAGGTTACCTTTATATTTAAGGTACCAGTATTACTAGAAGTTCCTATAGGAAAGAGATTGACCTTGGAAATAAAGTATAACCTGCTAGGATGCTGAACTGCTGAGCAACTCTATGTCCTATCTTATGTAAGCATCTCTTATCTTGGGACGGCCAATGTAACCCAATCTTACTTAGTGACAGCAGTCCTTATGGGACAAACAACTGACAACCCATCAACAAGGAACAGATATGGTATCTGACAGGAAAGAATTCCGCAGCAGGACATTTCCTTGCAGCTGCCTATATGCAATTCTTTACAGGATTTTAATAGGGAGAGAGTATCTGTTAATTATACATGACTCCCATCTGAACCAGAGCATGAAGAGAGAACATTAAATACCGTTTCTAAGGAGTTTGTGGAAGCTGCAATGATGAAGAGGTTTGTTCAGTAATAGTTCCCACTCAGCTGCAAGAGATAAATCACTGGCTGGATAAGATGCCAATTCCTAGTGAACCAAAGTTTATGGCTGAAGCACTTTTTTAGCTCCAGAGTGCAGCATAAGAATTTATCACTATGCATGCAAATAGTGTGTATCTGTATACTTAGATAATACCTGCAGTTTTGTGCTTTTATGTATGTGCAAAGTGATGCCAATATGTTTTTCTGTTGTCACAAACATTTTACCACCATGTACCTGTCCGCTTTTGGGACATTTCACATTATTGTTTTAGTAAGATTTTTATTTGTTGTCATGTTTCAATTTTAAATGAGAAATAGAAGAAACTCAATGATGCTAATAATGGCATGTTTTGTGAAGATTCACAAGTGCACACATTCAGTGAGATGGTGTAGTTGTGCTATTGGATGCATATGTAGAATTTCATTCTAAAGTTCCAATATTAATGTTTCTAATGTGGTTGTTTCTTAAAGAAAACAGTGGGTTAAGAACTTTTGACTATAAAAAGCTGTATATATTAGCAGAGGAATTAGAATGCCAATGCTATTGTTGCTGCAGCAGGAGGTTGCCTATAAATCCCCAAATATACAACAATCCCAAAAGACAGAGATTTGTAGTTTTTCTCTATCATATTATCCTGATAGTTCATCATCACAGATTTACATGTGTAGGAATCAGCCTTACCTGCAATGTACAACCACCGGTCCAGCATCTGGAGGATTGCATGCTTTCACTCGTCTTAAGAATGCTAAAATAGGAGTAGGATATTCTGGCACACCATGGTCAGGCCAAGCCATAAACTGAAACTGTCGCAGTTCCCGTTTTTCGCTGGAGCCATTCTGCAGATAAAGCCGAAATACTTTAGCTGGAATGAATGGGCAGCAGATAAATTCCTTGATTTGGAACTCATATACCATAGAGTACTAAGGTCTTTTCAACATGCAAGATTATTGTACATCTTCTCTTACTACATGCTCATTTACTGTATCATTTAGTTCTATTTTTAAGCAATATTCTTATAGATCCTTGCTGTGATTTGTTGTTCAATGAATTTTCTTGTGTCTACAATATGAATCCTTATGCAATTCTAATACAATATGTACAGACAGTAAGGAAGGTGATCTTAACGAAGATGTGCAGGAATTGTTATTAAGGCAAAAGGGGCTGAAACATTTTTGAAGTCAAGACCAAAGACATAACATTCAGAAGTAACTCAAGCACATGACTCCCTAATTCACTGAAGCATAAACAGGACAAAGTATAGTAGTATCAGAGTTATAAGATTCTGTTATTATAGTTGATCTAATTAAAATTGTTTCAGTCTTCCAGTGGAATTGATTTCCTGGTCTACTTAGTAGGACTGACAATATCTGAAGAACTGCTTTTAAATATTTAAATACAATATTCCTCAGGCTATTTACATATTTAATTACAGATAGTCCTCATTTACGAATTGATGTTTTAGTGACCATTTGCAGTTAATTCTATGCTGCAAAAAGAAACGTATGACCAGTTTTTACACTTTTGCCTGTTGAAGCATATCCACAATCTCTTGATTGTGAGTCGGATGTTTAGCAACTGGCATATTTATCATTGTCATAGCAATCTGTGGTCACATGATCACCATTTGAGACTTTCAAACCAGTTTCCAACAAGCAAAATCAATGGGGTATCTGGCAGGAAGTTGCAGTCACATGGTATGCTTAACCATAATGAGCAGCTGGAACTGACATAAGTTAAGCATGGTCATGTGATGTTTCACTTTATGGCTGTGTCATTTAGTGATGTAGTTGCTGGTCTCAATTTAAGTGGGTAAGAGATCTGTACAATATATGTTAACATACTTGGCCTGCACTGCAGACTTGAAATGCATGAAGCGCCACTAAAGCACGTGATGCACATATTTATAAGACACACAGTATGTACAAGACATTGGCCTTCCAATTCCATTCTTTTCAAACTGATTAGACACAAAAATACTGAATATGTTTTTGGGAAGTAAGGAAGATTACACTGTCTGTGAGGGTTGGTCATTTATCAGCCTTTTTATTAATGAGTTCTTATTATATGTCATGGGCCATTTTATTTATTTTATTTTATGATGCTATAATAGCAATAGCAATAGCAATAGCAGTTAGACTTATATACCGCTTCATAGGGCTTTCAGCCCTCTCTAAGCGGTTTACAGAGTCAGCATATTGCCCCCAACAACAATCCGGGTCCTCATTTTACCCACCTCGGAAGGATGGAAGGCTGAGTCAACTCTGAGCCGGTGAGATTTGAACAGCCGAACTGCAGAACTGCAGTCAGCTGAAGTAGCCTGCAGTGCTGCATTTAACCACTGCGCCACCTCGGCTCTTCAATTGATTGTAGCATGTTGTTTTAAATCTATACTGTACTTAGTTATAAACATGTTAATTCCTTCTCCTCTTTCTTAAAAATCCATCCATTATAACTCATTTCCTCCCCTTTTCCAGTACCTTGTACAGGGCAAATGTTCGGACTGTATAAGTTGCAAGTTCAACCGTATCCAGCAAAGTAACTTGGATCAACCCATAGGTCTCTGTACCACGTCCAGGCCAGTACTGATCACATTTCACCTGAAATAAAACCTCCAAATTAATGGATAATCCCTGGAATGTAGTTTTCATTGGGTTCCACAACATAGATTGATACTTTTCTCCTGTTGTAATTCTCAAATTTTACCTATATCTACCACAATTTAATGGTTGTCAGAAGAGGACCTATTTGGAAATAAAATACAGAAACACAAAACACCCAATTGCATTTGGCCAAGACATACAGAGAAATTGAATACTTTTTGTTGTATATTACCCCTCATTTTATGAGACCAATATGGCTAAATGACCAGGCAGGGAGCAAAGAAAGATACTTGATGTTCAGAGGCAGGGCTAAGAAGCAAGGATGCTAATAGCTATAAAAGAAAGAAACTGAGAGAAATGGTCAATTCAAAAGCAATTTCTTTCCATATAATTTTCTGTCCTTTCCCTGCTCTTTGGAAAGATTGGTATCTGTAGACAAGCATACTCATTTATTCTCTTCTCAGGGTGAATACGGGAAGCCTGCCTCCAACCTGTAATCCTCTGCTTGGGATTCTGCTCAGGTTCCTGGCATAAGGTCGCTAGCCTTATTTTTCCTAGGTATCAGTTGTGAGAGGAAGGGCAGTGCTTTACATGCGCAGGATACTGCAGCTGCGAAACAGAGACTCACAGCAAGAGAGCTTGGCTGAGGGAAACTTAAGAAGCTGAGTAAGAGCAACAAGCTCAGGAGCGGAATGGGTTTCATCCCTTTGCTACAAGCCCAGTGCATGTCTGGTCTGTGTGCACACAGGGAGAAGTTCCTTCAAGGAATAGCTGAAAAGGCTACTCTTGCCTGAGGTCATTAGGCTCCTTAGTTGGGAAGGGCCAAAAATATGAAATTAATCAGGCTATAGTGCCCATTTTATTCTGTTTTTCATACTTACCTCCACGGCTACAATTACTGATAGTCAAAGCCAAAGACTAAGCTGGAACTAGCAGCATATTTTTTGCTCGTAACACAACTATGGATTTGCCCTTCTAAATCCCCGTCTTTTCTAATGAGAAGAACTAGCAGTAGTAGGCTTTTGTATGCACAACCCATTCCAGGTCAGGTAGAAGTTGCAAAACATGGACTATATTTTTCCGTATCCAGCCGCCATATTTCAAAACATTCATGCATGCTAAAATTTTCCCAAACATATCTTGCCCTCTGGGTTCTTTATTCTTCTACATCTCTCTCTGTCTTGTCCATTTACATAATGGATCAATATTTGATTAAAACAGGATAAAATACTCTACCCAAGAAACAATAAATGTAATTATATAGAACGTGTGGAGAAAGTTAACAACAGACTAATTGGAAATCAATGATGTTCTGCTTTTTAATAGTCAACATTTTTAATGGGTGAGCCTTGTAATCATTCCTGGATGAAAAATGAAAGGGCGTCCTAGAATTGAGAACACTACTGAAGTGCACTTTATTTTCTGTGGTTATCTGGAATTCTGTGTTCAACCTGGATGGTGAAGAGCTTTTTTACATATGTTAACGATTTAACAAAAAGTTGGGCTAGCAATAATTTGAGCAAGGGCCTTCTTTTCCACTCTTTCTCCAGGGAAATTGTATTACTGTGTATATACAAGCATAAAACAAACTTTGAAGTAATCTATCCCAGGGTTTAATAGAGAGCCCTAGCTGGTAATTGAAAATTATTTATTCATGACCAGATAAGAGTCACTCACATTTTCTGCCAAATTTACCCATAATGTTTATGCCCCATTTTCAAGCTCTGTAAATTTTATGCTGAAGCTGATGCAGGATGGCACTAAACCAGATAAGAGAGCCTTTCTTCTGGCACTGCTCACTTCTCATTAATGTCAGGAACGCTCACAACCTGGAAATTCATTTATTGCTGGCAGCCCAATGGTCTCCCAGTTGCTGGGAGAATAAGGAGGCTTCCATACAGAGTTTTAACAATGGGAGAAGAGCTAATTTGATACACAACTCTACCTAGACTCAATCTAAAGCTTGCAGTCTGCAAATCAGGGGGAAATCTCTAATTTATTTGGACTTGTGTATTTATTAAATGGTATAGAAACTGGAAGAGAGGCAGGGATGAAAGATAGCCTGGATTAATTTTGCATTTAAGAGAGCCTTAGAGATGGCATGTACTGCTGATTTGGTTGCCAACTGCAAAGGCATTGGATGTAGAAAGTGGTCTGCTCTTTGCAGCTCTTATGTAGTATACATGATAACTAAAAATGATGCACCTACCATCATGCTAGGATTTTTAAGTCATGAATACCAAGCAGCTCACAGATCCTTTTCCAAGACTGTTGCTATTTCACAAGATTTGGAAAGTATTTGAAGCACTGAACTCCAGAAATCCCAGATGTCAAATGTTTAAGGCAACAATTCAAGGACAAATCATTACTAGGACTGAGAAAATGGCTGCACCTGTTAGCATTTGTCTGAAACAGCTTTCAAAATTCCTGGACTGGGAAGAAGCCCTCATGTTTGGAGATAAGAAAAGGGTCAAGCTTGAATGAGCACTGAAAAGATGCTCAAAGGGTGTTTAAATGCACCTCCTCTGATTAGAAAGCTCCCAGGGGCAGGGATGAGGCTTTTAGTTCATGCTTTACTTCTAGCTCTTCAATGCTTCTTTGACCAATTCCATTCTAAGGCTATTATGACTCCTCAGAGACAGGGTCCCCTAGGTGGGAGTTTCTGTTCTATAGGAACAGTATTATATCTGTAATTGCTAGCAAAGGAAAGCAGGCCTCTAATGAGTACTAGTGTGAACTTGTTAAGTGCAGAGGAACAAATGGGTAAGCACTCTCCCCCCACTATACTTGGCTGAGTGGGTGGGCAGGCTAACTTGGTGGAGTACGTCACCTCAAGGGTGCTACGGCATCCTCCATCTCCTAGGAAGTAATTAGGAGAGCGAAGGATGGGAAATGTGCTACCAGAAGATAATGTGCATTTCAACAAGCAGCAAGGCAGGAAGCAGAGACAGGTGCCCAAAGGACCTTTCAAAATGTGTTATCTTGGAGAAACACCCTCTGTGGGGCATCTTCTAATAGCTGGGCAGCCCCCAAACAAAACTAGCTGGACTTTGGATATTTACGTATTCTGACACACACCAAAAGTGGGGAGGGGACTATTTCTCTTTTAACTCATCTGCAAACATTATTCTAAACACAAAGCCCTCTTCTAGACTAATAAAGCCTAATTAATAAAGTGCAAGAAAATATGGCTACTGCTTAAATGCAATTACCAGCAGCAACAACTGAAGTGCTTAAATTACTGGAGCTTTTGGGGCATTTACTTCATACTTCAAACTGTTTAAGGCACAAAGCTATCAGCATTTTGATATGATTAAAGCAGAACTACATAGATGTCACATCAAGAAATGGGGTCTTATTTCTTATGTTTGTAATCTATAAAGAAATAGATTCTTGATGTGACAATCTATTTCTTGCCACTGTTTTGCTAGAATAAGCTTATTACAATGCTTTCTCTCTTCCCACCCCTTTCATCTTCACCATACACATGGTAGTGTTCTGGATGACCGCATATCATTCTGCTTGCCCCACCTTAAAAAAGCAAAGAGTACCACTGCAGAACATGCATAAAAGATGAGAAGAAAAACAACAGCATATATGGACTATCTTTAGTTGAATAAAGCTTAAAAAAATAGGGGGTATTTATCTTGGAACAAAAGATTACTTATGTGGGAGAGATTTATAAGACTGTGAGTAATAGAGCAGGAACAATTAGAAAAAAACTCATTAAAAACTTGAAGTTACCTATTAAAGATGAAAATTATGGATTTATATACTTAAGTCAATTTAAAACATTTTTTTTCAAAAATCCATAGCTAATTTATTAGAATACCCACATTAGAATGTTGTGATGCAACATGTACACATTCTTTTTAAAATTAGGGTATATAACACATGAAAGAACTGAACAATAAGTGGGCAGTAGTCATGACACCCCAAAGTATATACTTTTGAGTAGTGTTTATTATTCATCAGGGCAAACACTTTTTCAATCCGAGATTGAAATAAAGGCTCTTTCCAATGTACTCTTTGCAGTTCTGTAGTATTTTTGTGACACAAAGTGGTATTCTCCTTTCAGTATTAATTCAGTAAAGCTTAGGGTATATGGTTGCATGCATTGCTCTCCCTCCACATATATCCCCCATCTTTATTTAGCTGTTCCCTGAATATTCCTTATCTCTATTGCCTTACTCAAATGTATTTGACTAAAGAAATGAGTGCACCACAATCCTGTGGTTGGCATGGAAACGTAATGTATTCTGTGCTCATTACAAGAGATGCTATCTTCTGAAGAACCCTCTGCCCAGGATCTCCAATTGAGCTTCATGTTTTGCAAGAATATTCTGAAACACAGGCGCCTTCCATTCAGAGGCCTTAAGGCAAATAAATCCTTTTTACACATTCAAACTGCACGGGAGTCAGAATTTAATATGGCTATAATTTTTGGGTGCCAGACACAGCAGAAGACATCCGCAGAATGGTTTATACATGGAGATTGCTTCTCTAATTTCAATCTATAGATTATATATACAGTAACTGATATACACAACCCTATTTTGATAATATGCTTCTCAGTGTATGGGGTCAATTATGCCAAAAGTGTGTGATTTGCTACTGTACTCTCCTTTGAATGCTTTTGAATTGCACAAGGAGTGAGATGAACTCAAGCCACCAATTCCCCCAATTAGTCCAATTGTGATTTTATCACTTATATGGTATTCCATAAATAAGAATCTTACCCGGGCCCTTCAGATTATGAATTAGACAGAGCATAGGTGACAATTTAATCTCATAAAACAATTTATAAATAATCCACTAAAGGAATTAGATGGAAAAGGAAATTCTATGATGGACATGTTGGTACCATAAATTATTGCCCCCTTTTTCCTGCAATGTTGTAAAATTGTGATTTTCCCCAAAGATTTGCCATTAGAGTCCTAATATATAAAGCTGCTAATATTCTTGGAAGCACTGCATTCCCAGTATCAACTCGGACTCCCTGAAGCTCTTATGGTCAGTGGGAGAGATTAAGTTTGTCCATACCCGAGACTTTTCCTCCAGTCGTGTCATCATGACGATTGTTGCTGTACGTTGCTCCCATACCATTCTCCAGAAGTCACTGAGTGTCTCAGGCAAGGGCCCCTGTGTAGCAATGTAAGCGTTCTGTTTGCGGTAGCCATCAATGTAATTGGCATTGATGTAGTCACTTCCAGGGACCCCTGCATGAAAGGAAAAGGGCAGGAATGTGTAAGGAAAGGGACAGCCAGAATCCTGAGCCATTCAGAGAGAGGATAGAGATTGTAAGGATGCTGGTGCTAACATTTGATTTTGATTTTTGTGTGTGGTGTTTGATTGATTTTAACATATTATCTTACAGGACTCCTATAGGAGTGCAGCTATTTATAAATGCAGTAAATAAGTAAGTAAGAATCTGTTGATAGAATGCAAATTGATGAGGAATACATTTTAATGGACACTTAAACATTATACAAGAAGGAAATAGTATGGACACATATCCTCAATCATTCTGGGGGCAATCATGCCCAAAGAAAGATTTATGCCATTATTTTTGTGACTTGTTAATGCAACAACATAAAATCAAATATTAGTTATTAAATGTTAGGACAACTGTACAACCTAAGGCTCTTAAACAATAATATTTTTAGAAATCCATCCAAAAAAATGAATAAATATCTCTTTCAAATAAAGGCAGAATTGACTTTAGAATACATGTTCCATGAAGATTATAATTTTGCAATTTGACATTCGTTTTGGAATTAATGGCTTTAAATATAAAATTATAAGGACACTTACTAGGTTACTTTCTACTTCTAATGAGTCACATCTCTTTCCTTTCCCTAACCCAGTTATTGTTTTGTCCAAATACAATATTACAACAGATTGAATGAATCGAATGATTTGGGACTTGAGTGGTATAAATTTAAGAAATATATTTGATAGAAGAATGTACATTGGAAGATTTTAATACCTGTCCTTACATAAATTCATGATAGTGTAAATATGACAACAGGGAGTTACAGTATTTGGGAAATCATCGTGCAAAAACAAAAGTATAAATAAAACCTATAATGTTAATCAGACATCTGGATCTAAAACCTCTAGTTAAGGCAATAGGAATGGCTCTAGTTAAGGCAATAGGAATGGCTGTCAACTTTTTTTCTCATATACTAGATGTGGTTAAGAAAGCAATGCACACTCTGAAAAATGAACTTTTTAGATTGACAAGGTAATGTTCATTGAAACCACATATATACACTGATCAATTCAGTAGTGAACAATCTTTGGAACAAAGACATATACATTAACACACTGTGCTATATAACACAACACAAGAGTTAGAGAATGTATGAGAAAAGCACTCTTTCTACAGTATATATGCACTTTGTTTCAGCCTCATGTAAGTTTTTCAGGTATGAAGTTGAGAAATGTGATTAGTAATCTTCAAAAAGAATGGGTTATGTCCATTCATTCAGCTGCCTCAGTTGATCAACCTAGATTCTTGGCAGTGTTGCAGCCTTATATTTTGTAGTCAAAGTTGGGCAGATTATAATTAATTCCACACTACACTGCAGAAACTTCAAAACTTCATGTCTGATGCTGCAGTTTATTAGTGAAAGTAGCCGTTAATAATCTTACCATCAATAGAGGTCAAGATGACCCGAGAGTGATCATAGGCAATCACATTTGCATAGCGATTCTTTGGTTTATTCACTTCCAAGTTGGAGTTCTCCCAGGTGAACTGCTGCCCAGGATCAATGGACTACAAGATAAATGATAAAAAAAGAAGAATAAGTGTCCTTTCTCCTCTCTCTCTCCTTCCCTCCTCCCCCTCTGTCTCTCTCACACACACTCATATACATGCAGCATATTTATTACTTTTCCAACTCTTATACATTTTCTCAATGTTGAAACAATATAGAATAATATACTGAGTAAACAGTTTCATATGAGTTATCTGATTGATGATTAGAGAATTTACTTGCTGGGTGGGACATTCAATCTTGTTACCACTTCCATTTATGCTACAGACAATACCCAACAGTAATTTTAAAAACAGGCCCTTTGCCAGTTAAATACAACATTTAATGTTTCTGTCACATGAATTCTCTATCATCTAACCCTGAAACACAGATGTGGTATGAATTGCTGAATACTGACTCATATCAGTAAATTTTCATATGCAATATACCTGAAAATATAGTACAATTAGCACTTTTTGATGCCTAAAGGCTAATTTTCCAAATATCTTTTTTTAATTAAAAAGAGAGAGAGAGTTAAGAGTAGAAGCACGTATGTACACAAGCCAAACATACACACAGATAAACACACCAAGAATCTCTGAGGAATGAAATGAGGATGTGATGATTGAATTTAGGAATACAGATCAGTGGACACAAAAATGGATTGTTTGTGTTTATGTATTTATGCATACATGGAAAATGGACTGCTCCCTTCAAGCTCTCCCATAGCTATACCTAACTTGGCATGGCAAATATTCAATATTCATCCTGGAATAAGCATCTTGGAATGTACTATTGAGTCGGTAAATCATCTCTCCCAACTGCTATTCTTTCCCCACAAATCATTTCTCACAATACTTGCCAGCAAAGAAACAGCAATTCAGGTCCTTAGATCAATATTTGCTGTTCGACATTTATACCAGAACCAAATCCCTCATTTGCTTACCTCAACTACTATAAAAAAGAAGTATCAGTCATTTTTCCAATAAGCCAGAAGATTATATGACAGGAAACTAAACAGCAAAGAAATGACAGCAGAAATGCTAAGGTAGAACCCCAAGTAACAAAATCAACTACCATAGCCTACATTTAAGTTATTTCCAGTATATTGAGGGAGGTCTGTGGGTTGTGTACAATTCCCCAGCACCATCTGTAGTCCTCCAACACTGCACGGCCAAATTTGATGGCAGAGTGTCTACTTTGTGGCAGTGCAATTCTTTGGGTTCCCTTGCTTAAAGAAAGAAAGGGAGGTTTCTGTGATATTTCTGCTCCCATTTCCATTTTACAAAGCCTAAGCCTCTGACTAATTTTGAAGACTTTAAAGATAGAAATAGGGGTAAATCTCTTCTTCTTTAAAGGCCTGATGTTCCCTTAACATACACACATGAAGGCTTATAAGTCCCTCCAAAGCCAACCTTCATTTACAAACAGCGCATGTATCGGTATCAACAAGGCCATGGGAGCGATGAGTGCCTCCACCTGTTTGCTGGATCAGTGCCCCTCCTGGCTGGTTTCGACCAGCAGGGAGGTAACACAAGGCTGGCTCCAGAGGATTACCAACTCGTCTCTGCAGGAGGGATCTTTCCCACATTCCTTGAAGGAAGCAGTGGTAAGACCCCTCCTTAAGAAGCCGTCTCTGGACCCAGCCATTCTTAACAACTACTGGCCGGTCTCCAACCTCCCTTTTTTAGGGAAGGTTGTTGAGAAGGTGGTGGCCCTGCAACTCCGACGGAGCTTGGATGAAGCAGATTATTTAGATCCCTTTCAGTCTGGATTCAGGCCTCGATACTCCACCAAAACTGCTTTGGTCGCGCTGACCGATGATCTCTGGCGGGCCAGGGATGGAGGACACTCCTTTATCCTTGTGCTCCTTGACCTCTTAGCGGCCTTCGATACCATTGACCATGGTATCCTTCTGCGACGGCTGGAGGAGGTGGGAGTGGGAGGCACCGTCTTGCGGTGGTTCTCCTTTTACCTCGGAGACAGGTCGCAGTCGGTGTTGGTTGGGGGACAAAGGTCGACCCCTAGGCCCCTTAAATATGGAGTCCCCCCTCCTATTTAACATCTACATGAAGCCACTGAGTGAGATCATTCGCCGGCACGGGATCAAATACCACCAATATGCGGACGATACCCAGTTGTACCTGTCCGCCCTGTGCCAACTCAGTGTAGCGGTGGAAGTCATGTGCCAGTGCCTGGAAGCTGTCAGGGTCTGGATGGGGGTGAACAAACTCGCACTCAATCCTGACAAGACCGAGTGGCTATGGATGTTGCCTCCCAAGGACAGTTCGATTAGTTCATCCTTACGTCTGGGGGGTGAAAACCTACTCCCCTCAGAGAGGGCCCGCAACTTGGGAGTCCTCCTGGACCCACAGCTGACATTAGAATATCACCTGTCGGCTGTGACCAGGAGGACCTTTGCCCAGGTTCGCCTGGTGCATCAGTTGCGGCCCTATCTGGATCGGGAGGCACTTCACACGGTCACTCATGCCCTTGTTACCTCGAGGCTTGACTACTGTAACGCGCTCCATATGGGGCTGCCCCTGAAAAGTGTTTGGAGACTACAACTAGTCCAGAATGCAGCCGCGCGAGCGATATTGGGTGTACCAAGGTACACCCACATCACACCTATCCTCCGCGAGCTGCACTGGCTTCCCATTGGTCTCCGGGCGCAATTCAAGGTGCTGGTTATCACCTTTAAAGCCCTACGTGGCTTAGGACCCAGATATCTGCGAGACCGTCTTCTGCCGCATACTTCCCAACGACTGATAAGATCGCACAGGGAGGGCCTTCTCCCGGTGCCGTCAGCCAGACAATGTCGGCTGGCAACTACCCGGGGGAGGGCCTTCTCTGTAGCCGCTCCGACCCTCTGGAATAAACTGCCCCCAGAGATCCGGACCCTACCCACGCTCATGGCCTTCCGTAAGGCTCTTAAGACCTGGCTATTCTGGCAGGCCACGGGCTGTTGAACTCATGACTGAGTTCCAGCCCCAATCAGAATGGGTGTATGTTGTGGTCATTTTTAATCAATGTTTTTTGTGTTTTTAACTTCTATTTTTAAATGTATTGTTGTAAGCCGCCCGGAGTCCTTCGGGATTGGGCGGCCTATAAATTTATTAAACTAAACTAAACTAAACAGAAGGAATGATTGCCAAGTTCAAGATATTAAAGATGCTTTTCTGGAAAAACTGAAAATCTCCACATCAATTGTAAAGGATTTCCATTTCAAGGAACAACAATTGAACATATAAAAAGGATTTTCACAACTTCAACAGGAAGGATAGGACATCATAATGTGGCTAATAAACGGTTTGGAAAATGCAAGAGGAAAATAAACTATTATCAGCATAATAATCAGGCAGTGCAAAGTGACAGACCAATTGTTATAGCTGACTGTAGTCATATTAAGCACACCTCCTAACTGATAGAGGCAGGTCCAAGGATGGTTCTAGATAAAACTTTTATAGAAAAAGCTGTATTTCATCCATAGAAGTGTATGAAGGATCAACCAGGTCATCCTTCTACACTCAGCCAATATTTCCCTGTTGTCTCTTTCTAACTCTTCTAATCCTCAAGGGGTGGGGAGTAGAGTAACAATGCATTTTTTCAGCCAACATGATGAGAAAATAAACAGCCAGGATATGGTTAGATGAACTGTGGCAAAAATGGATTTTTTGGAGAAATCTCTCTAGCCCTAATATAGTGAGATTGTGAATCTGACCACGAAAAATCAGTTATTTATATTAGTTGCACAACTATCATGCTATTCCTTTTTATGGTAATCAACATTATGTAAAGTACAGACCTCTTGAATGCACATATTTTTTGCCCATGCCACTTTTAGATTATAACAAAATGGCAGTGTTTGAGAGCACTACAGAAAGCAGCAAACTTCTTAGTCCAAAGTTACTTGGGGATGTTCATCTTATGCTTAGGTAGGTTTGCTTTGTCCCAGGAAAATGGAATCCATCTGGGTTCCTCATAAAAGGAAGTTCCCAGTTTGTAATAAATCTGTGATAGAAATCTTTTGCTCTTGGACAGGTATTTCACACCTATAAATGATCACAAAACATGGAGGCCATCTGAAATCTGACATTATAAAGAATGATGGACAGTTTAAAATAAACTAATAAACACACTTATATCTCAAGCTACATTTCAGTAGTTGTGATACACTATATAATATGCTCAAATTCAGAACTTTTGTCATTTCATCTCATTTCCTAGATATCAAACAACATCTGCAGACACTTAAGAAAAGTAACTATCTCATAGACATTCTTATATTCAAAATACCTGGTATAACTAAATTTTCATTATTTTCAAGTATATAAGAAGTGAAAACATCCTTAGGAGGCATTTCACAGGTCCTTTTCAAAACCAGAAAAGATAGAAGTACAAAACTCACCTCTGTATTAAGTCACACTAAAATTGCTGCAATGTGTTGAAAAAGAAAGGAAAAGGTGGCACAAATCAACCATCCATTCCCAATTCCCAGCAATGCCATTACAACAATTGTTTTGCTGTAGAGAAAGTGTAAAATCCTTGACTATGCTGTCATTAACAAGCCCATAAGAAGGCAAACAGGTGAGAAAGGCAGGAGAAGGAATCCACCTGGCTGCGAAGAGGTGCTAATTAAATACGCCTGCAAATGAGTGACTCATTTAGTAGTGAAATGATTTAAACTCTGATGAATTAATGTGCACCTGTTTTCCCCTTAACACAAACAAATGAGTAAATAAGCCAGAGCAGGGGTGCTTAGAATGCACCTGTAGACCATTATATGCTTCTTTTACAGATGGGCCACACCAAGTAACTCCCCACCCACCAAACTACCTTTTGTTTGGTGGAATATTCAATTTTTTTTTGAAATTTGAACACACAATTCCTTAAGGTCTCATCACCATGATTTTAACAAGTCCAACATGTCTCTGAATGATAGCAGCTCTTTGTCAGCTCAACCACCGAACAATATCCAACCATGAAGCCACTCAAATGAGGAGTCAATCACAGGACATCA